GGAATGTTGGTAATGGGGGAGACTATGCAGGTGTGGGGACAGGGGCTGTATAGGAAATCTCTGTACCCTCTCAATTTTGCTGTGAATCTAAAACTGCTCTTAAAAAATTAAGTCTTGAAAAAAAAGGGAGAGGTAGGGTTAGATGAAAGAGACAGAAAATTGGCAAAATGCTAATGATGTGATAATAAAGTTGGATGATAAGTATATGGGAATTTATTTTACTATTGTCTCTACTTTTGTGTATGCTTGAGATTTTCCATAACAAAAAACCCCTGTAAAATTGGTGTGATAAAATGGTAATTTTTTTTCTTGTTTGATATATATATATATATATATTATATATATATATATATGTCACTCTTTTCTCATTTCATTAAGAAAATTTCAATTGTCTCTAGGACTCTGTTGAAGAAAATCCAGCAGGTCTTACTATTCAATATTTCAATAGAAAAGACAAAAATGCTTGAAAACTAAGTTTTTGTGAGGAAATTCTGTGACCACATTATAACAATAATAGTCTAAAATTCATCTAATTCCACATCTCCTCTGTTTAGTATTTAATAACAAGATATCCTTGATTTCTTCAAATTATTAAAATATAAAGTGTGGTCCGCTGTTATTGGAATAATAAAGACCTTTTGCTTCCCTTTCAATAGAGGGCTTCTACTGAAAGAAAAACAGCAAAATGTTTACTATGGAAAGACTTAAATAAGAAGTTGAAGAATAATCTGAGTTTTGTGGGTGTCCTAATGCTAACCTATTAGTCTGCTTTGAACTTACACTGCTCAAAATAACTTCTGTTCCTGAGATCATATAATATCAAGTTATATTATTTCATAATTCTCGATCCTCAAATAGATGTGCTATTGCACCATGCAAGAAATTGTAAAGGGAGATTACGCTCTTACGAGAAACCTTGCTTTCCTATTTTCCTTATCCTAGGATGTATTTTCATAATTAAAAATCCTTAGAAAGAGAAGCAAATTAAGCATACGCTATTAATAATCATTAACCTAAACTTTTTGTATGTTTTTTTTTGTTTCAAATGTTGTACGACATTGGGGCATTTTAAATTTTAAGGACATACATATTATAAATAATGCTTTAAACCACATGACGCCAAATGTAATGGAACACCTGCGTAAAAAGCATTTTTTTCTTTTCTCCAGGTTACAAAATTAGTCATAAAAGATACTAAAATATTTCCGTTGTTTTTCTCCTATCATAAAAGTTGATTTTTCTTTCACAATGAAATATCTCCTCTTTGCCCTTAGTAGAGTTTAATCTTCTTTTTCTGTGGCAGAATATAGTTAGTCATCTAAGTACAATAGTTAGAAATCTTGCATGTCGATTAATCCACGCCATCAGACCCCACAGCTTTCCAAGCTCACGTGAAACCCTGAGTTGGCCGTTCTAGGCTAGCTGGGTACCTCTTCCACATTGCTTAGGTCTCTCCTGCCTCCAATCTGCATATCAAAAAAGCTTAATTTTGAATCGGGTTTTGATGATTGATAGTCATCATTTAAAAGCTAATACTTTTTGATCACTTCTTTGTGCCAGGCATTGACTTGTCTCAAGGACTTACTCAAGAATTAACATTTATTATCTCTGTTTTCAGTTAATGAGACTGAGGCTCAGAGAAGTTGAGTAATTTGCTGAGGGTCACACAGCTAGGACTTCCTAGAGACAGGATTTATTTAGCTTTCCCAAGCAGTCCTGGAGTTAGTGCTCATAACCATTGGGCCACATCTCCAATCCGAGATTTCTGGTACTTCTCATTGGTGCAGGGTACCCTGAATGTGCCCAGCACTTGGCTCTGCATCTAAGCTAAGAATTCAGTGCTGTTCTTTAATTGGATCTACAATTACTGTTTTATTAAGTTGGGACCTGGACCCTCAGTGTTAACAGTCACATAGTGTTCCATTTAATAGACCTCTTTCTTTTTTGCAGGTGGGTAAAACTTAAAAAATAATGACGCTCTGTTTAAAATTGCCAGAAGGCAACATACAGTCATTTTGTAACTTCCAAATTTTGAGTTCAAATATTATTTACATTCTGCTCTCATCAGTTAGATCATTTTTAATTACTAAGAGAGTGAGTTTTTTATCCAGATATTCTATGTTATTACTGATTAGAAAACAAACATAAGAAAAACTTCCTCTTCCTTATGAATGACAAAGCTACCTAAAAAGGGTTAAGTCTGTGCTATTCAATAAGGTAGCTACTGGCCACGTGTGGTTACTGAGCATTTGAAATGTGGCTGGTTTAAATGGAAATGTGTGGTAAGCAGATTCTGAAAGCTCAGGACACAAAAATGGTTGTAAAATATCCCATTAGCAACTTTTCTATCAATTACATGTTGAAATGATAATATTTTGCATATAGTGAGCTAAACAAAATATATTATTAAAGTTAATTTCACTTGTTTCTTTTTATCTTTTTAATGTGGCTACTAGAAAATCTTTAATTCCATCTGTGGTTTTGCATATATCAAGTGAATGGTACTGGGTTAAGAGCTTACTCAGACATACAAGAAAGTATTAGTGCGAGTGGATTCAAGCAGTTTGCAGCATATATATTCATCAATGAAAAGCATTCTTTTTTCAGTGAAAAGGTTAAATATCTATGTGCTGACAAATCTACCATTTTCTCCAAGTTCTGCCCTGTTAGACTGCCACTGTATTTGTAAGAACCACAGGAAAAGGCATTCTTCCTCAGGAATGATTCTCAGACTGATTTTTTACTACCCAGAAATGTGGACTCGGGATGACAGATCAAGAACAAAAAAAGTATCAGCATTTCTTGTGTGGGTTTCAAAGCCTCTGGCATGGTTCCAAGCAGTGGTCACTCATGAAGATCGCCCATCTCTACCATTGGGGTGATGGTTTACAGCGCAGCAGTGCAAACCCAAAAGGGCACCCATGAGTTCATTACATAATTCTTGGTAGCATGAGGCCTAGTGTGTATCTGCTCTGGGGAACGGTGGGCAGGTGCTGCCACGCAGACTGAGGCAGTCATGACGATGTTTTGACAATGTGTGCTAGAGGTTGTTTGTTTGGAAAAAGACTAACCAGATTTTCCTCTCTCTCTCTCTCTCTCTCTCTCTCTCTCTCTCTCTCTCTCTCTCTCTCCCCACCCCCTCTTTTAAATACTCTGGCATAATACTGAATGACTTTGTTTTCAAGCTGCCTTAGCCTAGCTTTGTGAAGAAAAAGCCTGAGTATTCTTTCCCTGTAGGACACAAGTGTTATTTTTGGAGCAGAGGTTCATAGCCTGATCTCTGTCTAAACTAATTGCCGTTCTTTGGGAGGCTGTGGTCTGGGCGGCTGTGAGTGATCTTGGTGGAGGGAAGCTTCCTGGCTGCATGAGGGAACGTGAGCAAAGATGTCGAGGGGCCATCCTGAAACTTCACTGCCCTGGGTCTCCATACAAGGCTCCTTCACGTACAGATTGTGCCTAGAAGTCTCGACCACATGTGTGAAGTGGTCTGCTTTTCCTGTTTATGTCATTTCATAGGATGTTTGAGGTCAAGGTGATCCCTTCCCCGCCTTCAATCTCTGAACTTTAGGTCACAGATTCCCCAGAACTAAGAAAGCCATAGCTGGGCAGTCACTGCAGGCTGTTTGGGGTGCAGAGGCTGTGAGAGAGCCACAGCCCACCTAAGGGCCACAACTTGAGTTCCTGAGGGCCTCTGGGAAGAGGTCTTAGGACTCGAAGTTCAAAGCATCCCCTTCTGTAACCTGGTCCGCTTCAGGCTGCTAAACACCAGGAGGAAAATCTCTCCGGCTTTTCACAGCTCCTCTTTCTGACCTGTCATTCCTGGGAGTTTACAGAGCCTCAGCCTGCTAGGAAACATGTAAAAGCAGAAACAGTTGAAAACACTGCTGTCAGCAACAAATAACGCCTCATTCTGACTCCCTTCCTTTGGAAATGGGTAGCTGTGTATTCAGGGAGCAGGTGTGTGTGGAGAAAGGCCGGGCGATGCCCAAGAAGACCCTGCAGCAGGTGTTTCAGGCTCTTGCCACCTCCGGGGATGGCAGGTGACTTGTGATGTGCCCTTCCTTGGCAGGCTATACATAGCCAGCAAAGCCTCTTACAACAAAAGCCTCTTTCTGCAGCCCGCACCAGTCCTGCAGATCAGAGGCCTTCCTGTAAATCCCCTGCAAGCTTTTGAGCCTTGGAACCTAAACCAGACAGCTGGCTCCCAGAACTGACGGAGTCCCCTGTAGCCTTCCATCTTTCCTTTTCTTTTCCTGGAGAGCCTGCCCTGTCCTCAGCCATGGTCGACATGGGAGGCCTGGACAACGGGATCACCAACACCGCCTACCTGCAGGCCCGGAAGACCTCTGACAGCGGCGACAGCAGGGAGCTACAGCGGCAGTGCCCAGAGCCTGGTGCTGCCCAGGCCGCAGTGCTGCGCCCGGCTCCTCCAGGCCCTGCCCCCGGACATCGATAGCCTGTGCGAGCTGCAGCCCATCGGCCGCGGCCTCTTCAAGGACTTCCTAGCCACGGTGGCCCTGTACCAAGAGGCTTTGGTCTTCCTTGAGGAGGTGCAGAGCTAGGAGCTGGCTAAGGAGGGCCCAGCCAAAGGCAGCGCACTGCAGGGGCTGGTGGCCACTTGTGTGGCTGCCCCTGGCCCAGGGAACCCACACCCCTTTCTCAGCCCAGCTCTGGCCACCTAGTGCCATGTGACCACCTAGTGCCATGTATCCACCATTGAGGAAGGGGGAGCTGCCCTGGTGGCGCTGGCCAAGGTAGAGGCCATGGCCTTCTTGCAGGACCAGCCCTTCCGGGATTCCCTGGCCAGCCCCTTCTGTGACAAGTTTCTGCAGAGGAAAGTCTTTGAGATGCAACCAGTGTCAGACAAGCACTTCACTGAGCTTCATGTGCTGGGGAAAGGTGGTTTGGGGGAGGTAAGTGTCTCAGAATAGCCAGGTAGGAAGATGATGGATACAGCATGAAAAGAGTTTTATTTTGCCTTTTTTAAAAAAATCTCAAAGGAACTACTTAACACTAATTTCAGTGCCACATGTGGAAAGTTACTATCTCGCTCTCACCTCTTCTTTCTCATCACCATGTGAAATAAAATGAGAATCGCATAGGAAAGACAAACAGAATGTGGAATTGGCCAAGAATCTTTAGCATGGGGTCTACACCAGGAACACACTGAAATGCCCAGGACATTTTGGAGAATGTCCAACGTATGATGGGAGAGCTCCCTTTCACCTTAATTGTGGTAATGGAAGTAATTAGAGGAAAACTTCAGATATCTAAGAAAACACTCATCTTGAAATAAAGTCAAGAATTTGTTTTGCACCACTGTTGTACTCAGCACTTCAGTAGAAAAAAAAATTGAAGTAAAATTAACATAACATAAAATTAACCATCAACCATTTTAAAGTGTACTGTTCCGTAGCATTTAATACTTTACAATATTGTCTAACCATCACCTCTATCTAGTGCCAAGATATTTTCATCACCCCTATACCCACTAACAGTAACTCGCCATTTCCCCCTCCTCTCAGCCCATGGCAACCACTGCTCTCTCTCTCTCTCTATGGATTTGCCTATTCTGATGTTCATATAAATGGAATCATACAATATGTGACCTTTTGTGTCTGGCTTCTTTCACTGGACTTAATGTTTTGGAGGTTCATTCACACTGTAGCATTTGTCAGTACTTCGTTTCTTTTCAGGGCTGAATAATAATATGCTATTGTATGGGTATGCTACATTTCATTTATCCATTCATCTGTTGATGGACACTTGGGTTGTTTCCACCTTTTGGCTATTGTGAATAGTGCTGCTATAACCATTCATATACAAGTATTTGTTTGAATACCTGGTTTCGTTTTTCTTTCATATAAGTGTAAGAGTGGAATTACTGGGTCATATGTCAATTCTATGCTTAGCTTTTTTTTTTTTTTTTAAAGATTTTTATTGGGGAATTGGGGGATGGGAACTGACAAGTTGCTGTCCTTTTTGTTCTTCAGTCTAGTTGTGGAGGATGTTGCTTCACTGACCCAAGTTGGCACCATCATTGCGCTCTTCCCGGGTGAGGCAGATCAGTTGCCGGCTTCTGGACGACCACTCACAGCGACTGCTCACGCTGGCTGCTGACTACACACGGTAGCCCATGGCAACCCACTGCAGCAGGGG